AGCACAAAGGATGCTGCTGAGTCCATTGCAGGAAGCAGCTGTACCAGATCCTAACAACAAGGAACATTTGAAAACTGTCTTTCAGTCACAAAAGTACTATTTTCATGGAATAAAAGGTAGGAAGAATCCGATGATGTGTTGAAACCCTTGGTAGTTAAATGAAGACTACATCAGAGTTTACAAAGATCATGAAATAAAAGCATGGGGCCAAAGGATATAGAAATACAGAGATAAATATTGAAAGGTTGACATTTCATGCCACTGGGTTTCAGTAATTTCATGGGATTGCTCAGCTATTCAAAAAGGGCAAAGATTCCAAAATTAATATTAATTTTCACTTTTCCTTTTACAATTCCCCAAATCTCTGAAGCTGATCACAGTTGAAAGATTAGGTATCAGTATTGCAGTCTGAGCAGCAGTTTTGTCGATTCAAGATTTTAACATGTAGAGATAAATGTATGAGCTGACTAAATTTCAGAGTGAGTGTAAAATGTCTGGGCATTAGTAGCAATTAGGAGAAGCTGATTATAAGCTCTAGAAAATCCAATTTGAAAAAGATGACCAAAAGTAAATTTCCCATAAGCAGAAATAATGTTTAAACATTACCAAATACATTTTCAATTTTAATGCACTACAGACTTGAGCCCAAATAGACCAACCTGCTATGGTCTTGCAGCTGTACAATTTTCCTGATGTTGCTGAAGTTAATCTTTCTTTTGTTAATCTGAATTGATAAAGAAGCATTAGGATCACATTAAGATTTTTAGATAATAAATCTTTAGAAAAGGACCTGGGCATGAGCCAGCAGTGTGCCCTTGAGGCCAAGAAGGCCAATGGTTTCCTGGGGTGCATTAAGAAGAGCATGGCCAGCAGATCAAGGGAGGTGATCCTTCCCCTCTACTCTGCCCTGGTGAAGCCACATTTACACTACTGTATCTGGTTCTGGGCTCAACAGTTCAAAAAAGACAGAGATCTCCTAGAAAGAGTCCAGCAATGGGCAACAAAGATGATAAAGGGTCCAGAGCATCTCCCATATGAGGAAAGGCTGAGAGACCTTGGTCTGTTCAGCCTGGGAAAAAGAAGACAGAGGGGATCTGATCAGTGTTTATAAATATCTGAAGTGCACAAGTCAACAGAACAAAGCCAGACTCTTTTGAGTGGTCTGTACTAATAGGACAAGGAGCAACAGCCAAAAACTGGAACATACAAAGTTCCACACAAATATGCAGAAGAACTTCACAGTGAGGATGAATCAGGCTGCACAGATATTGGAAACATTAAAGATCCATTTGGAAGCCAACCTGTGTGACCCACTGTAGGGAACCTGCTCTATCAGGGGAGTTGGACTTAATGATCTGTAGGGGGTCCTTCCAAACCCTGAAATTCTGTGATTCTGTGACTCTTAAAGAAAGAAAATTCACTACTGCTTGCATGACAGAATTGGGAACTAAAGGCAATTGATTGTTCTGGGAAAATAAAGGAGTCCTTCTTTCCTGGAAGTTCATCCTAATGAACTGACTTTATGGGTAGAAAATATATAATGTTTGCTTTTTTTAAGTGAAAAGAGAAGAAAAGAAAAAGGGGGAAAAAAAAAAAAAAAAGGAACAAACGATTTCCAAATGGAAGTAGTCTGACATGGCACTTCCTATAAAGTCTCTGACACAAATATTATCTACATTTGTAAAGTCCAAGTTATGGTGTCAGGGTTCAAAAAATAGTGCCCCTAGTTATATAGTTAACACCACATTTTTTACACTAATTTTAATTAAGAGTTGTGATTTACATCACACAGAGCTCCAAGTCCTTAAATACCTCAGTGGATTGGCTCTGAATGACCTCTAAAAAAGCCAAAGGAATACAAAGGGGAAGAGGAAAATACAAGGACACCTTAATACCAGCTGAAAATATTTCTCCAATGCTAATGAATGTTGTTCAGCTTTTTCTGGCCACAGACTTCACACGAACCCCCAAAGGAAAAAAATGACAGTCTCTAAAATGCTTTTTCTTTGGCAAGCTGCAGTTGTCCAACCCTATCATAAACCTGTCAGAGTGGTCACAAATTCATCTTCCCAATACTTCTCTGTTTTTCTGGTTGTCACCAGATTAGCATGACAGTCCAACAAGTGGGTCAAGCCAAAGAGAGGAACTTCAAAAAGGGCTCAGCAAGTTATATCGGCTCCTCATTCAATCCTTAAGCCCCATTTCTGCAATTGATTTTCAAAGTTCCTAGCAGTTTAAGGGTCACAGTAGCCAGGCTGCCTCTTTTTACTTTTAATGGTGATTGCAGAGAATGCTGTTCTTTTTCTGCATGAGGTGACTACCAAAGCCTAAGTGTAATATTTGGCTGCAAGGGAATCATCTCTTCAGTGACCTCTCACAGGCTCTGCACAGACAAAAATGGTCAGGAGAAAATTGAATTCCCAAAATTTGTAGGTGATATCACAATACTCAGGTTTTTCCAAAGCCTTACTAAAAAAAAAAAAAGAAGAAGAAAAAAAAAGCAGAAGAAAAATGAGATCAGCAGAATGGCTTAAATTGGCAGCTGTTACTGAACTAAAGACTTGGATGGAGTACCAGATGCTGGCTTTAATGTTTTTTATATGATATGCATGTTGCAGCTCTGTTATTATGGCTATTGCTGCAGAAATGCTTGATAATATGTATTTACAGAAAAGAGATCCCTAAATAAACTCCTTGAAATCAAGTCCTCTTTTTGCTTTCAGTCCCCACAGCTCAGTTATTGCTCCTGACTTGTGTGGCTCAAACAGAGGGTCCCTGGGGTCCTTGGATTCAATCCTTTCCAAAATTTTGAAACTTGGTTCCCTTACATATATTGAAAATCCTCAAGCAATTTGCTCGCCACCATCTCTCCTAAACCGTGGCTCCTACCATGATTACTGTAGTCATCAGTAACCTCCCTTTAGTCCCTCCTCACTAGTACATAAATATCTCTATTAACTAATCTACTGAGAAGTGCTTGCGACATTCTTCCACTACTTTATCCAAGTGTATCTTATGCTCACTCTTCTCTCCAGCTCCTCTGACCTTTTCCAGAGATGCTTTTGGCCTCCTGCACTTCACTGTGCCCTCTTCCAGAACCCCTCGTGCTGTACAACCTTATGCCTTCCTCCTCTGCCTTCTCACATCTGTGAACCCTCATCCCTGGTGCCCTTCTGTCTGGAACACTCACTTTCTCTTTCAGCTCTAACACCTACTTGTTCCAGGAATCCCACTGGCTGTTTCTGCTCTCAGCAGCATCCACAAAGACCAGTCATTTCTGAGCCTGTTCGTGCATGTTATGCCTGACTTTAGTTTGTACTGCTTAACCTACACCTGCTATGCTCATTCCCACATACAGGTGATATTCCTGAGTGCAGCTTTACCATACCGGTAACTGCAGTATACCTTGAAAGACGGAATCTTGAAAGTATCTTATTGTTCATGAAAACTGTCAAAGAGGATGTGAGGAGCACCCTTAATCTAGAGCACACTGGAGAGAAGGGGAAGGCGGAGCTGAATGGAAAGGGAAGAAAAGACAGTAAAGACAGGGATCTGTAGTAATCTCTGTAACAGGTAAAAAAGAGAAATGAAAGAGATAACCATAAAGGAGATATTTAAAGTCAGGAAGACAGATCCTTCCCAGCAGTGGAAACTAAGTATTTACAAGTCCTTGCAATAAAAGTGACCGATTCTTTCACCCTACCTTTGGGGCTCATACTCATCTCACACCAGAAAAATGCACAAAGGTGAGCCTCTGAGTGCAGAGAGAGGAAAGTGCTCCAGAGTATGGCAAGACAAATGCTCTGTATGGATATTAGGACCCTTCAGTCTTCTTGCCCCTTCCTTGCCAGCCTTTCTCAGTGGAAACAGAACTGTCTACTGCTATGATTTAGGCCTTAGTTACAGTAACATGGACTGAATTCTACAAGGCAGAAGGGCAAAATACCACATTATTTAACCAAAGAACAATTAAATACTTGTTTACATTTATACAAAAGCTGGTTTCCATGCAAGACTCTCTACTTGTGCTTTTGGACTGCTGTGTTGTACAAAGTGGAGACATGCCTCCTTTTAACCAAAATCTCCCTTTTGCTATCATACACTGCAGAGCCACAGGCAAATGACTTTGCAGCTTTGTCCCTCAAACACGATACAGATGTTTATCACTGACACTTGATGGATGAGTTCAAATGGGAGAAGCAGGGACTCAGAGAAATGGAATCTTACTGATAAATATTTCACAGCATTGCATACTGCAACATATATCATCAGATCCCATTTGGCAGAATTGCTTACAGGTGATGTGTATGTCAATTATTGTAATACTCCTGGCAATCTGAGAAACACAGATTGTAATTGATGGGCTATGTACTATTTTCCAGCTGTAGTGCAGCTCGCTGCTATTATTTGCTTGTAACAAACATCTGTTCCAAGATGAAAGCACCTACAAGTGCCTCTGCTTCAGAAATTACAAGAGGTTAGTTTGTTAAACATTTAAGCTATGTAAACAAATACAGGTTTCATGCAAGACAGATTTGACTATGGACTGATTATTCTATCATACCATTGCTAACTATTCCTACTAATGTGGCAGAACATTTCAAAACCAAGACATTCTCAGATGTATGTTCCGAAGTAAAATGTCACATGAAATTCAGTTTAGTCAGAAGTCCCTAGGTTTAGAAATAAAACTGATTTCAAAAGAAAGGAAGCATTTAAACAGTGTCATGGCAGTATGGCTTATTCAGTAATAAGTAGATGGTTTCTTTTTAATTGCTCATGTACTTCATCAAACTCAGCCTAAGTCAGCCATGAAGGAAAACAACCACTAGCTGCTGGCAGCTGCCTAGCCTGTGCAAGATGGACATGGTTCTCATAGCCAGCAGATGGGGTCTTAGATCAGAGAAAACATCACCGCAGTTGGCACAACCAGGTGCCCATGGCTGGCCTCCCTGTCACAGCAGAGAGGCCGAGGGCATGTTTCTGAACTACTCTCTTACCCCTAAAGGTGGTCTCTCCAGGTCAGGGTTGAGGCACATTGGTGGGGCAATGTGGGGAAGTTTGCACTGCTGCTGCCCATGCTGTACCTGCTCTATAAATAAATAGAGGACTTTAGTCTCCAGGGCTGTCAGTTTGGCACCTTCCATGTGCACAAATGACATATTGTGGTTTTTTGTTTGTTTGTTTAGAAACAACCACCCAAGAAGTTATATGCAAAGCTTAGTATGGCGAATCAAGATAAATCAAATTTATTGTATGAGAGCACCTAAAATCCCACCTTCCACTTGCTCTCTTTTTTGTGTTTTCTACTTGTTCTCTAATTGTGATAAGAATAAAAGTTATGGACCTCTTTCGGTGTTTCTTGATGACAACGGTTGCTGTTCCACCACAACTCCAATGCTGCCACCAAGCAGGCAAGAAGAAGGCCTATTGCTAAAATGCAGAAAACGCCTGCAAAACTGTGCAGCTTGAGAGCCTTCCCATCTGTCTGTGCATTTGTGTGGCTATTCAGGTCACAACGTCCCATCCGTGGCCACCATTTTTGTTTAAGAACATCCAAATCTCCACTTTCTTGCAACTCTAAGATCCTGCAGAAATTTAAAAACATACACAAGCATTACATTCAATTACATATTTTTCTACATTTTTTGCACTCTTTTCCTCTTACATGAACTGCCTCACAATTCAAAACTCCGTCTTGCAAGCCCCCATCCCCATGCAGTATTAATCTGAAACTCATTCTGCTCACAACAGCAGGCAAACTTCAGCGAGTAACTTTAGAGGAAGGATGACTGTCAGAAATTTCATTGCAAGGGAAGAAACATTCCCAAGGGAAATCACCATATTCCACACTTAGTTATGGCTGGTCTGGCAACGTTCAGCTGCAGCAGCTGGTCCCACTAGTGAAATATGCAGCCCATTTCACTGCTGCTCTCCCACAGTAATTTTAAAATCATGGGAGACTAAACATGCTACTATTTGTGCACCACTTCATACAAATGTGCTTCAGCAGCGATTGACTCACTTAGTTCAGCAAATGCAGTTTATTTAAAAGGATTTTACTTCAGTGCTGTTACTTCATGCTTGAATTACTTTGTTAACGGTTGCTAATTAATCATTGTTTTGCCTCTTGTGAAGTGTCCTTTCTCTCCAAGAATGATTCATTTTGGATTTGGTTTGATAACTATTTTTGCTGATTACTAACACCCCTTTCTCTTTGGTTATGCAGCTGGAGCTTTACTCCCTCTTATAAAGAACAAGTGAGATGGGGAAATCCTGCTCCAGCTTCCTGTCTGGAGCAGTGCACCCACTCACCTTCTGCTAGGGCCACGCATGCCTGCCCACCTGCACGTCTTCCATTCAGTGACACGCTGACATGAAAAAGATGCTCATAGCTCATAGACCACCAAATGGCCACAGATACTGTAGTAATGCCATGCAATAATCAACAATTCTTGTTTTCCTGTACTATTGTGAGATTCAGCATGTCTCTCCACCCTAAAGGATAAACTGGGACATTATTACTTGCTTGCTGTATGGAAACACATTGTTTCATAGCCTGAAAAACATATAAATCAGAAATCTCTCTTTGATCTCTCCCCTAGCTCATACAGAGCTCTGGGGACTCTGGTCCTTTTTCTGCCAGAGCCAGTGCTGCTCAGAGATGTGAAGCCACACACCATCTCCAGTCCCTCCTCCCTAAACAGAAGTACACGGAGCAGAAGTAGCAGCTTTGCTGAAGACTGAACTCATAACCTTTCTGCTGTCACTGTAGGAAGAGAATTAAATTTATTCAGCAAATTGTCATTGTCAAAATTGAAGTGAACCATCAATGGGATGCCATGCAGGTTGCAGAGAAGAATCCTACAAAATGAACTTTGTTTTGGTTTACCTCTGGGAGAAAAGATCTCTGTAGGGGCTTCCATGCTGGAGTGCAATTCCATATCCTTTGCTGCTGATGCTGTTACCAATGACTGTCACAGAGCATTCATCATCTGTCAGCGCAGCATATTCCACCACTGTCACATCCCACAGGAATGCATAATTTCCTTTCTTTGCCTGTAAATACAACACAAACACAACAAAATCTAAACTAAACCACATTTTTAGATAGGAGAAAAAAAAACCAACAAGCAAAAATAAAAAGCCCGATGCTGGTACTTCACCAGCTCACATCTGTAGACCTCCAGCATCTTAATACATTTTTAACAGTCTTCCCCCCCAACATTACCTAATCTATGCTTTTCCCAGCAGTACATCATCTACTGCAAACCTCTCTAAAATGTCTTCCATTTTTAATAGAGAGAGAGCATAGGATGACGAGGCCTACTGTAAGTTTAGGCAGGGCTTACATAACAGGTAATTAATTATAAATCAAAGCCATTGCCTTAACTGATGAAATTTGATGTATGTTTTGTAGGAGACATGGATTAGCAGGAGTGGAACCAGCTGCATACATTTATGTAACTAGACAGGTACAGGATGAGCACTAAGTGGTGTTTCCTAATCACTGCAGTCACCAAAATGGAAACTTCACAGGTTCTCTCCAGTAAATGTGTAAGTGAAAGAAGTGCCCTCCAAGAGCTATATTAGTTCTGTAACAAAAAATCACGCTTAAAGCTTACAAAGAATTCCCTCTTTTTTTTTTTTTTCCCCTCTTTTTTTTTTTTTTTCCTCCCCACAGACAAGAATAATCACCAGCAACTCTTGTCAGCTCAGTTTTGGGACAAATATTGTTCTATTTTAGCACATGTTCATGCAGATGTCCTTAAATGTCAGCCTTAATTGGCATTCTAGCCAATGTCTGCATGCAGTACATTTGATGAATGTAAATCACCTTACTTAACATAAGATGTAAGAAAAATGTCTGGATAGGAATTCAGTAAGGAAAAAAGTGATCATTTTGTTTGTTTAAAGTAATCATCGGTTTCCCAATAAATTTAAGTATTTAAGATTTTTAATCTCTAGTGAACATACAGAGCACAAAAGAGAACAGATGGATGAGAACAGCTATTGCAAATAAATGTATAATCATGACTGCAGATTTCCAAGACATTTTTTTTTAATTTTTAAGAAACAAAAACCAAAATAAATGACAAAGGCCCACCTTTGGCTGATTTCTTTAGGTCAAAACAAAGCAAGATAGGAAGCTGTAGTCTGGAAACTGAATCATTAAACTTTCTTTGCCAATGGCTGCGGTGCTGACGTTATTTCCATGTATTTTCCATTTTGTGTAATCTCAGTTAAAGAATTGACCTGTAAGCCTATAAGGCTCACTAAATTAATTTCCTCAGTTGAGCAACTAAGTTAATTTCACCATGCTTTAGTATAAATCATAGCTTTCTGAAGTCCTTGACAGTTGCTTAAACATGAGAATAAATCAGATGGGTGAATTTTCTTGTAACAGATAGAATCTAGGGAAATAAAACTGAAAAGTATGCTTTTGGATTTTCTGTAAATCATTTGCCACAATTCACCTCCTCTTCTCTTTTACATTCTCTTTGACATTGCATGCATCGATGCAATCAAAGACCCCCAAATTCTTTTTCTTCTGAACTACACCAGAGTAACAATACATTATAGCCTTCGTTTCTGGTAAGATCCAAATGATCCTGTACTGACCACGGTGAAAATAGATTTTTTAAATATAGACCAGCACTGTGGGTTTGGCCAGCTGAGCTCCTCTTTCTCTCCTGCTACCTCTTGGCCAGTTCAGAGTAACAGTAATTAATGTCTGTTGCTTCAGCCAGCTATTGCTATTCTAGCTCAAAACAATCATTTAAAATTAAAACACAGCATAGGGATTACAGGATACAAATAGGAGCCACAAGATCCTTCTGTTAAACTATATATTGGCATATTGGTTTAACTAATATGATTAATTATACAAGCTTGGTCACAAAAAAAATCTCTCTCAAATGGTACTGCATGACTTCCACATCTGTATTGCAGTTCCCCTGGCCATCTACCTGACTAGTACTGGTGATGGAAAGAAGGAATCAACAAATAAATCACTGTTCACTCTATGTGACAGCCAGAAAAGGCTTCAAATCTATCAACACAAAGATGCATAAAAAAATAAAGGTTGGCAAGGAAAGGGATTCCTCATGGTATTAAGCTTATATTCAGATGGTAACCTGCACTCTTGGAAGCCTAAAATGTGTTTCTCAGAGGTACTTTCTGAATGGTGGTGTACCTGGAAATAATAACCATGTTGTTAGCAGCAAGCCTCTGCATCTTGCCCTCTGCTCTTCCTCTGATGGACTTTAACAATTCTCATTTTATGTTTCTATACCTGTGAGGCCTTCTACCTGCTCAGGGACAATGGGCATTCCTCCTACTAGTGCTCCTGGCTGCACATCCCAGGTTATGCCCTATGGTAAACAGTACACAGGCTCTTGCTATCTGTGATACAAGACTGTGTGCAAGTGCTTCTGCGTTAAAAGCCACAGTTATGGGACCAAAGACAACAGCATTTTTTTTATCCTATACAGAATTTGTTCAAAATCTGTTGTCACTAGAGAACAAAAGCTTGCCTGATGTACATACAGAAAGAAATCTTCTTTCACCTATATAGGATTTCACTTATATCACAATGCTAAAATGTCTTTGATTTCTTGTTGGTTTCTGTTTTTTTTTTTTTTTTTCTTTATTTAATAGCTGGATCTTTTAGTTGTTTCAAAAATGTTCCATAAATCATCTTTTCAAATTAACAGTTTACAAAAGAAGAACATTGACAACACGTCCTACATTCCTCATCTTTTTCTTAGTAATACTTGAGGAACACAGTCTTCCTCAAATATTCGATTTCAATTATAAGGCAATGTCTAGAGAAAATCACATTATTGATTCGACCATTCAAGCCCCAGTTTTCTGCACTTCATTTTATGTAGAAGAGCTCTATATGCTGACTTTCAAGGTTAGACAGCAGATCTTTTGACAAGGTCTACTTGTCTTGTAATATTGCAAGTCCTGAGTTATATCCTATGAATACAAGTGGTCAGTGAAGAGTTTACTGAGTCTCTCTGTATCAATTTAGTATTTTTATGACAAACAATTCTACCCAGTGCCATCATATCCACTGAGCAGTATTTTTCTGATAGACTGTACATTTTAACACAAACAGGAATCTGAGTTTTAAACTCTTATTTATGTGTTCTCTTAACTTCCAGAAATACTGAATGTGGAATGTGGAACTGTTTCCCCTCTCTAATTGTCAAAAACTGACTTCCCAAAGATTCCTTTTTCCTCAGGAAGATTCTTCTCTTCCAAGAATCTCTTCCTCTTGCAGATTTTTCTTTTCTTAAGGGTAGCAATCTCATACTATTGGCATATTCGTTGCACAGAAAGCTTCCTTTTGACTAAACAGTACATTCCTATCTAAATTTGGCATGCTTCACATCCCTGTAATAGCTGTTGTGGCTGTTAGGTGAAGGCAGACAGGTTAAACTACACGTGACACTGTGCACTGGCCCATGGGATATATAAGCAGGAAACATATGTAGGCTTTTTTAATGACACCTTACTCAGATGCATCTACCCATGCAACTGCATCATGTCTGCAGTACATTAAAGCTCTATTTCCTCATGCTTTTTGCATTCACAACTTAGCCATTTCAAACTTGCCTGGATGAGGAGCTACAAGATATGGTTTAGTTGCTTGTGGTACTAATAGGAATGGGAAGGTGGTTGGACTAGATGATCTTGCAGGTCGTTTCCAACCTTGTGATTCTATGATTCTATGATTCTAAGCTTGAACTATTTGTTTTTGGGTCCCAAATTTTCTAGGGATCAGACATCACTGCAAAGAAAATATAGATAAAGAGATAGTAAAAGGGAATGTGGTAAATACCAGCTGAGAATAGGTAAGATAGAGAAAGAAAGAATGATTGAAACGAAATAAGAATAGTAAGCTACAGTTTAGGCTTTTAAATTGGCTTTCATATTTTGCTCCTTTGGAATGGCCTTTTTGTGACTTTCAGCACGCAGGCATGCTGCAGAACAAAACAGAAATAACTCAGTTAAAAGTTTCAAAAACCTCTTTCACAGAAATTCAGCCAAAGTGGTCATCTATTCCACCCAGGTTGAACTTCTGTAGTGGTTAACACCAAAGATAGCAGATTTATCTTCAGTCGAAGAGATTTAGGAAAACAGATTTCAGAAGAAAAAATAAACTTGCATTAAAAATTTCTTCTTCGCAATCATCGAAAATGAAAACACTGAGGAAGATTGTTTCCCTGGTATAATAAGAGGGACCATAAAGATAACAGTAATACTTCTGAAAAGCAGTAATAACCAATCTCATTATATTACTCTTCAACATGGGAGGGAGATGGAAGAATATATTTCAAAGGGTCCTGTCTTACTGTTGGTAAAGTTATGTATTTTCAGAGAACATCTGGTAAGAACTAACAATACTTGAAAAAAAGTTGAACTTCAGCTTTATCACTGATAGGCCTGTGATTCATCTGCAACTAATGAAGAAGCTACCACACTGGAAAAAGAAACCTGCAATAATGCGACATTCGTCATTTATCTGTTGCCAAAATGGAGTGTCACTGTAGATGATCCCATGATACAGCTGGTAACACAGAAATATCAAAGGGTGACCTTCACATTGCTATTAGAAGAATAGTTCAAAAACATGCTTGGATAACATTTATTTTCTATTTCAAAAGTGCCTTAGGAGAAGCTGTACAGTTTTAATAAAGAAAATACTTGTCACTTAATCCTGTTGAAATTACTTAAAATTAATATCATTAGAAGCTACTAGAGGATGCAATACATTTGGGCTTTAAGGAAGCATTTGCTCCTACTCCAGAGGCTGATCATGGTCAAGAAATGAAGAAATTTATGAGGATCCATGAAAATATATGGATGAGCCATAATAATTCACAATCCAGTGTGGACAGTAAATCACAGGAAAAAATATTTCAAAAAAATCCTCTTCATGGAACTCTTAAATTACTTGTAATCTCAAAATAAAAATGAAGAGAAATGTCTGTTCAACAAGAAAAGATCTCATTTGATGTTCATTGTTTGTTAAAGGAGAGAAACGTTTTGAAGGAAGTAAAAAAGGAAGGAAAGCACTTGTACTGTGCTACTGCATAAATCGATGGTACATTCACATTTTGTACTATGCTTTGTTTTGATCACTGCATCAAAAGCAATATACAGGAAGAAAAGAACCAATAGAACCAATTCAGAACAATTTTGGCACCAAATTGACCAGACAGAAGAACAAACTGTCTCCATTAGAGGAAGACTTTTAAAAAGCCACAATAGCAATTTCATTCTCTCATGTATATCTTTGCATATATGTACATATATATATATGTATATATATATAGTGACATATATGGGAGTATACAGGGCACATACCACTTTGTTCTTTCAAAGCAAGAATGGCTGCTCACCATGAGAAATGCTGCAAGTTACTGGGTATGTTGTGATAACAAATAATTACCCTCAAGAAATTACTGCCATGGGGTATTACGTGAACACCTTATTCATATTTGCAAATACATTAGGGACATACTCAATTCCCCTATCAATGTCAATCTGAGATAACATGGCAAGAGCTATGCACAGCACACTTCTGGGACATTCTGGCTGCAGCTTGACCCAAAAAGAAACTTTCTATACAACAGAATTAGTCAGTCCTCTTCTGTAGTACAAGAAAACTCAAGTGGCAAAATAGTGCTTTGTGTGGACTTGTGATTTGTCTGGCAACTTCCTCATATTCTATGTGGAGACATTTATGAATAGGTGGATGTTTTACATCTGCAATGACCACTTTCAATTGCCATGGCAGTACAACAAAAGCAACTTGCCCCCACAGCTCTGAAATGTTTTTCTGTCACTCATGTGACTTTGCAGTGCATTAATGCTGTCTCTGTGGCCGTTCTTGTGTTGCAAAAGCTGTGCTTTGACAATGGGAGATGGTCACTGTGGCTACAGGGCTGTGCTGTGTCTGAAAGTGACCTCTTCCATGGCAACCGAAAGCTTTTGTGGCATTGAGGACATTCTTCCATTATTGTCTGTTTGGTTTTAGTCAATCAAAGGAGAAGAAACATGTCTGGGAAGTGGAGTGAGGAAAATGGAATTGAGACAAACACTGGAAATACCTGCCTATTGCATGAGTAAGCAGTACTCTTCTGTTTTGCATTGAAGAGGCTTTTATTTTTTTCCTATTTAACTGCAGTTGAACTGTGATTCTGTCTGAAGAAAATGGAAAGTGAGAGGAGAGGAGAAAGAGAAGTAGGTTTTTTTTTTTCCATTGTATCAGGCAAGTCCTCATTCAGAAAATGTGTTAGGTATCTAGAGGAATTTAGAATTTGCTTTTCCTATAAAGCATTTCTAAGGTACATATACATCTCTTTCATGCAGCAGCATGTGTTTAGAGATATAAAGTCTGATTTCCTTGGCCGATACCATTTCTTCCTTAGGAAAACAGAATTTCTAGCCAAAATATTTGATATGGCCAACTTTTATGTCTGTTTTTTTGAAGGAGCTCAATGAGTTAGTAAGAACGACACTTAAACTATAAACACAAATGTTTAGTTGACAATGTTATTAAATACTGAGCTCAATTTACGTGCCTAATTAAATAGGAGCTTTGGTCAGCTTTGGGAGCTGAGGTAAATTCAGTTATTGTTGACGCTAATGCAATGAGCTGATCGAGTCATATAAAAATCACCCTACAATATTAAAATCAAACTCAGTATGAGAAATTTCACATTACTTACAAGAGACAGAGCTGCCAGCTCCATACAGAAAACATACTTGGTAGTCCAAACAGCCTGCCAGTCCACAGTTACATTTAAGGCTTAGGCAAATGTAGCTCTAACAAATGGCAGCATGCAATAGGCTTACAGAAAGAGAGTATTTATGGCTTTACTGCTGACATAAGAATGCTAACAAAACAAACAAAGAAGAGACAAAAAAGGTAAATTTTTGTGCTTTTTCTATGGTAAACTGTTTTACTTGTATATTGTTCTTAATGTCATGCTATGTAGATTAGAACATAATGGGACTACTTCTGTCTCTGCTTAGAAAGTCTTGAAATAGAGGCTTCATTTACATAAAGTGATGAGCAAATTTAAAAAAAAAAAAAAAAAAAAGAAAACCAAACCACTGCAGACTTTTCTATATCCAGGGTTCTACCTTCTATAGAGGAAGAAAGTTTAATTGAGCCAAGGGCTCAGCTGGAAGGTGGGAGAAGATGCAGAGGGAACCAAAACTATTGACAGAATACTCCTGTACTGGATAAGGCGAAAGTGTATCTTCCCAAAAATAAGGATTTTATCCAGAAGTCACACAAACAATTGGGAATCTTATATCAAAGGACTTTGATTCAGGAAATAGGATGGCTTGTGTTAACATGTTCAGCCATGCTATGGTTATGGTGTTGTAAAAAACAGTATTTTTTTGGATTTTTCCTCTCTGACAGCTTAGAAGTTGTTTTGAATATTCAAAGAAAAAAGAACCCAAGCCTCAAACATTTTCTTATTTCTCATTTATAAAAGCATAAAGAGCTCGTAATAAATTTATTCCAAATCACTGTTTCATTGACAACGGAATAATCCTGATCTAACAATCACAACTTTAATAATAGCTGTTTTCCTGCTTTGTGGGGAAAAAAAAAAATAAAAAATCAATTGAAAAATAAAGGGGACACTTTTCTCTAAAGGAAAAGCACATTAAAATTTGACTGGCTACTTCTGCACACTTTCTGCCATAATATACTTCAGGACACATGCAGTTTGCTGTTATTTATTATCTGCTTTTGCTAAGCTACAAGATGGAAAGCGGGGAAGAAGAGCAGCAGACTAAGAGCGAGTAAGTGTGGGCCTGTTTAGAGCAGAAGTCAGCACATGGATGTAGAATCTCAAGCTACTATATACACCTTGGTTATTACAACAATACTCAGTTTCATCACAAAATCTGAGAGAAATAAAAATTAGGTGAAAGCATTCTGACATGTGAAAGAGCATGTGCTTGTTAAGTCTGGAATAAACAAAGCAATTTGGCATGAAAGTTCTGTTCTAAGAAACATTAGTAGATTTTCATTCAATCTCTTAATTATTCCTCATGTTACCAATATTTACTTTAATCCAAAGCAAATGAAAAATAAAAATAAAAACGAGCAAAGGACAAGTGTTATCCTATCTGAATAATAAAAAATATCATTGAAGATGGGTATTGCCAAAGCTGCCAAGAAACCTGTACGTTTTACAGCCAGCTCCAAAGAAGGATTTTAATACTGGCAGAGCTAAAGTACTTTAATTCAAAATCACGACCTCACAAGATGCCTTTTATCTGGCAGAGTTACCGAAAGGAACTTTATGTAAAGGATTTTTTTGTTTAAAGTTACAATGTAATTGCATTCATGTGACTTAACAATATTAACTCCACGCAAACTAATTTGATACAGCACAAAAATTAAATAAAGAGCACTGTAATCCAGTCTTACCTTCCTGATGCCTTCAGAAGGGTTCGATACACAATTATCTGCCCCATTATTCTTACTTATTGTCCTCCACAGTTCAGCAAATGTGTTATCCTGCTCCAGAGGGTTTGTTCCTTTTGCTTTAAAGTATTCATACACTGCGGAGTCTCTGACTGTACCATAAGATATATCCATTTGTTTAGACAGATCCTGAAATGTTCTGAAATTGAAGCAATATTGAGATATTAGTGAAACACAGAACGCTACTGAAATTTAATTAATTAAATGATTTATTTTTGTCTTTAGTCAGAAAGCATTTACCAATTCCAGACAATATTTGAGTATCTCTCGGCTTCATCATAAAGGAAAACCAAAGAGTAATTGAATTCAATTGAGATCATGCAAACTTAGTTATACCTGAACTCTTTTTTTTTTTTTTTTTTTTTTTAACCTTAATAAAGACTTTCTGGATAGATAATATCCACGTTAAATATTATGATCCCAAGTTTGCACAAAAAGGGAGTCCATTACAGACATACCCCAGTGCAGGAAAAGCTAAGGTTGTAAATATAAACTGTCAGCCACCTTGGCACCACCTCACAGAACTCAGTGGAATTAGTTGGAAGTTATACCAATACTCCACCTGACTCCAAATCAATAAGACTTTTTTAAACAAACAAATAAAAGCCTTGGTTCCAATTTCCACCATGTCCCTCTCTCTCTTTCCTTCTCTTCACAACCTCTGGTAAAACAGACATTTTTCATTCACACAGAGGTCTAACTTTCATTTACTCATCATACCACCCTGGAAGTGTAAATAGGCCTCAACTTGAGTGACTGTGAATGCATCATTTATTTTCAAATTGTACTGAATGTAATTCACTCCTGTTTTACAGCCTTTTCAGCACAGAAAGGTGTAAATCACTGTCCGTGTCACTGAGAACCAGGCCAAGTTTCAAAACATTTGAAGCAGAATCATGTCAGTTTTCTACTTTCAGCCACCAACGTTTGCTCCTGTGTCCCCTTCCTTTGTCCTCACATCTCACTTTTTTGTACAGGTACAGAGTGGCAGCACAGGCTAAACTGTATCTCAAATTATGATATATATATATTTACATCTCATAAATGCATAACCTCATATAAGATTTATTTCAGATGCTTCTCATATGAACTGCCAATTAACTTTAGCTGAGATCAAACTAAAGCCTCCCATCCACTCTACCATCCTCCCCATCACATCACCTTCAGGCCTTCTGAGTTTGGTTCCCAAGGAGCCCCTTTACCTGGAGGCACCATGAGAGGCTGCCAGCTCCATCCCCAAAGCCGCAGCTCAGCAGGGATGCCTCTTCTACCTTACAAACACCCTTCCAACTCACAAACTGCTTCTAACATTTTAAGTGGTTTAAGTTCTTAAATTGTGTTAAGGATTTTTTATCATTTTAAGCTGCTAAGCAGCTTTCAGTAAGACTGCGAACAGTTTTTCTCTACACACTTTGCACACTTGTGGGTTTGGGCTAACTCCAGGAGTTGCATCAAACCCCAAATATGTTACTTTCCTTGCTCCATATACACCACTTCAGTAAAACAGAAATGAACACCCTGGAGGTTACCAGATATGAAACAATTCTAATAAAAAAATGAGAGAATTTGTATCAGTCCTCTCTCTCTGTTTAACAGTCCTGAAAGTTATATTCTGATCTCCTAAATGTTTCTGGTACATTTCATTGAACAGGACCATTTTTCCTCCAATTTTGATCTAAATGATTACATGCTACATTTAGTTCCTTCTTTATTTTTGAGAATAAGCTTCATCATATCACATGAAATTGCTCACATCCTGGGGATGGATGATCTGACTGTTAAAAGACACGTTTCAGTCTACTGTATGTTCAAACGACAAAGAAAGGTGCCGAATACACATGGAGAGTTTCTGTGGCAACCCTTTTAACACAGTCTGCTGCCTAGATTTCAGTGTCTGTAGAAGCACATGCAAGGTAGAAGCACATTAGCAGCAGCATTTTTAGCTATTGTACTTTAACGTGACTTTCAGCTGGTAACAACTTTACAAATGTCTACTGTTCATGCTGTCATTCTCGCTGAAAATGTAAGCATTCAAAAAAAGCAAACTGTAGCTTTCATAATGTTTCATAATGTGGATCCCTTCTACTGCCTCTGCATGGGAACTTTGACAGAAATCTGCTTCTTGTTTTAGCTAAATTATACTTTATTGACAATCACTGCTTTTGTTTTAGCTAAATCACACTTTATTGACAATCACTACTTTTGTTTTAGCTAAATTGCACTTTATTGACAATCAGTACTGTACAAAAGCACAGTACATCTTGCTTTTTGAAAAGCATTTTTCTTCAATTCTTTAAGCATTGCAGTGAGCAAATTCTGAGTATAAATCAAGTGCTTTGCTGGCCCAATAAGCAGGTAAGAGGTGGCAGGGAAGGAAGCCCAGCCTTTGCTTGGGTGTTGCGAGGAAGACAACTATGATCCCTTTGGCTGGCAGAATTTTCCTACAAGAGATAATAAAGAATACTGCATGTCCTAAGGATTATGCACATCTTTCCTGCAGTGCCCTATTTGATCCATTACAAGAACTGCTCCTGACACAGGAGATTCTCTGTATCGTTACTGGAAACATCTTCTGAGCAAGTCAGAAGGTCACCAAAGTACACAGCCAGGGTCGCAGCAGGTAACCAAGCTTATGAGTGGTTCCTGCAGCATAAATTCATGCAGATGGTGAATGTCTGAGAAAGAAAATAACCTTAAATCTTTACCAAACAGACCACTTAGCCAGAACTATCTCAGAAACTATCTTGATGGGAAGTAGTCTAGACAACAGTTCTTATTCTGTATAAAAAAATTCTCTGCATTATATTTCTGCACTGAAATCTCCTGTCTTATAGGATAGAATTAAGATAATCACAAGTGCAGATTTCACATATTTTTCATATATTTATATTTTTATATATTAGCATTGTGCCATTCTCTAAAGGCAGCTACTCTTTGTTCCTAGACTCCTTCATTTTGCAGAATACCCATTAGCTGAACCCATCTTTGCTTGCTACTCAGATTCCTGGCTCACTTTCCCATGGTAAAGATTTCATGCATTTAATATATAAAATTATTTGCAACAAAAATGGGCAGCATAACAAGACGCTCCATTAACCTTACCACCTCAATTATTGGATCTCACAACCCATTAAGGACTCTCTGTAAGTGTGATTAAAGATAAAGCTAGTAAAGCAGAAAAAGCCAATGTTCCTCACTTACACTTATAGGAGCTGACCTTCAATTTGTAGATAAATACATCCACTGTGTGATTACTGTAATTGGCAAGTACATGTAAACCAATTGATTTAAGTAAACGTATCTGCGGTCCATCCAAACAGAACAGAGTTACCAGCTGAAATATTCAACCAGTGTAGTAATATCTGCTAGATAAATAGGACAATTGATACGTAATTTCCAGTGGAGTAGCAATTACTTCAAGTGGAGTCAACTGAAAACTGTTTGTTTCAATTTTTAGAAACATATTGACATAAACCATATGCTGTGAAATAAACATTTAGGCAATAGTTGTACTAGCATTTATAATTAGACCATTAGAAATAACTGACACAATAAAAATATTGGTTAACTTGTACTCTTTGGAAATGCTTCCCTATTTGTAAGAGGCTCATGGAGCTGTAGATATGTAGCCAAAAAAGGTTCTGCAGGCATAGGTTGATTTGACTCTAGAGCTGCTATAAAGATAAGACTTTCTGGATGAATAGTATGAACAAATCTTATCTAAGGGACAGACTAAACCTGTCACCAGGTGCTCTGAAGTAACTGCTGACCAATTAACTCAACTTGAGAAACTGCAGCCTCAGCTGTTCATCCAAAACTGCCTCCCAAGATCATCAGTAGTGATCAAAGTAAATAACCCTAAAACACTAACAAAAACAAACTAACAGCAGCAAAAACCCACAAAAAGAAAAGCAAACTTTCATTTCAAAATCTTTTTTAAAAATCTTTTATATGTATATATTTAAGGCAAAAAATACTTATTTACTGAGTTTTTCACCTTCCTAATTATTCTTTTGCTTTTAAGTTAGGAGAATATTGCACATCTGGAATCCTATGTGTAAATTCTGTGTCTGTTAACAAGATAACTACGTAGCAACGTCATGAATTCTTCTATGCCACTGTAAAAAAAAGTAGTTTTTATCTTGAATTCAGCCTTACAGAGACCATAATGGCAACAGTGGCAGCTCCTTGATTTAGAGGTAGTTTCTCAATAGCATTCACCACTGCCAATATTTTAACACTGAAACTGTTTGGTTTTTTTTCCAGTTTGCTATTACTTAAGGAAAGTTAGCATTTTAGAAGTTTCAGAATCCACAGCATTATCTTTAAAAAATGATGCGGTATTTTTCATGCCTAGCTCCTGTTTGCTCATCTGCAATCCAATAGATGTTAGAAATAATATAGGTTAAGATTAGACATAAGAATGGGCATCAGCACTCTGCTGTGTTGTGAGTACATTTCAGAATAGCCTCTCCCTTTGAATTACTGCATGTGTTTGTAAAAACAATGCAAAACAAATAATTCCTCCCAAGTAAATAAATTGATTTTCTTAAATAATATTAATCCCTAAATCATACAGACACAGTATGCTTTTCCACATTTGCCTGGGAAAGCTATGTTCTTATTTTACCTAGGGATGCCAGCACCCTAACATTATTGCTCAATGCAGCATAATATCCCAGGTGACGGCTGCCATTAAGATGAACCAACCTGGAGAAGATGAGAGTTTTAATCTGCTTTACCAAAATGGAACACCTTGGAAATATATACAAAAATATACTACAAGTTTGGAAGTCCTACTTTTTTAAATACCTTGAAATTACTTTATTTCAATTTTTTTTTCAAAGCCTAGGTATTGATTATATGTACAGAATTAAATACAATTGCAATTTTTAACTATAAGGGTTTTCTCAATAACATTCTAGGCTGGATGTGGCTCTGGGCAGCCTGGTCTAGAGGTTGGTGACCCTGCCTGTGGCAGGGGGATTGAAACTAGATGATCTTTGAGGTCCTTTTCAACCCAGGCCACTCTGATTTCTGTGAACGTGTACTGGAGGGAAATATATGTTCCACATACTGGGAAAAAAAGTCTACACATCGAAATAAAGATAAAAGTAGCTGAATTGATTTCACCGCATT